TAATAAAAACCTAAGGCACTAAATCTTTATTGGGATTTCACTGAGTACACAAAATTACAGTACCACTTAAACCCTACATTCTTTTTAGGAACTGTTTAAATGAGGTATACACAGATCCTACAGGAACAGCTAAACTAAGCCCTGGGTTATTCTCTCATTTCTGAAGAGCAGTTTTTAAGTCTTTCTTTCCCATCTGTTTACCTATCAGACATGCTGGAAATTCAGCATTCAGGTCCTCTGCTAAAAATATTTACTTTATATTAATTTACATCCCTCCAACTGCATTTTAACCAAAACAAATTAAGTAAAATGGTTTTTTTTTTCCTAAAACATGGCTCCTTTTCTATGTTCAATAAAAGAAGTATTTCTTCTGTTCATTTACTTCTAGTACTGAACATCCAATATGATTCTGTTTCTTTGTCTCTAGCCCAGACCTTAACTTAAACTCAAGGAACTAACTTACAATCTTTCTGATTTCCATAGACATTCAAATAAGTAATGTTAATTTTTATATTGCAATTCAAATAAAAACTATTGATGTTGATAAGTGAGACAATCTTTACAAGTTTTTGAAGTTAAGAATGAACTAGAATGGTCAAAGTTGACAAAACTGTTTCGTAAACTGAATAAAGTATGTTTTGAAATATATGTAGCCCTGCAATACAAATTTTAAAAGGCATCATAGAGTATGATAGAGTATCTCAAATTTACAGCAGCAGCAAAACAATGTTTTAAATGCTTCCTGCGCAGTTACTACAACAAGCTGTATCAAATCTTTTCTTTATTTAAAAAAAAAATCCCCAAGCCTAAAAATGCGGTTTTTACATATTAAAAATGCTAGCATTTATTAAATTGGTCCCTCTTCTGTCTATAAACTTTAAACTATAGTTTTCTAATTATGCTTAGTTTAAAGGAGAAGAAATTTGAGGTCACAAAGGGGTCAGAATCAAAGATTCCTCTCTCATTTTCAAGAAGACACCTCCTGCAAAACAGCACCTAAGAAATGTCCCAATGTTGTCATTTTATGGGATCTCTTAAGTACAATCTAAGTAATAACCAAATCCAAAGAAATTTAATTTAGTAAATCTGGCAACATAACAATGTAAGATATGCTTCATCTTCATGCTAAGTAGCAATGGTTGGTTCCTCTGTGTTATTCTGCTGCAGACACTTCTAAATTTGTATCTTACAGCAAATAATTCTTAACAGACTGATTATTTTTCCTATCTCTTAACTATAATTGCCATTCTGAATTCATCCTTTGCAGATGCTTTATCCAAGATCTATGCACAGTTCTTAGGAGGAAGGAACCTATCCCCATCTCTTTGGGTTTACAGCATATTTTAAAAGACTTGTCCTTTTTTTTTAACAAAGTGAGATGTGGCTTTTTCAACATTAAGCCTCAAACTTTTTGACAGATTTTTGTGATAGCCTAAAACATAAGTAATCTCCATTTCAATTCAGATTTTTCTGAGTTGTAGAAACCACAATGGTGGTAAAATACAAAACATTTTTATGTATTACTTGAATATTTAAAAATCTCTTGCTTCTTACAAAAGTTAAGTGTTTACACAGCAATAAATATTGATTCCCAGACTTGTTCTCATGCCAATTTCATCCAGAGTTAATTTGCAGCATCACTTGGGAATTGTTTAAAGGAAAAACTTCCTACTACAGCAGGAAGCCTAGCAGAATCTATTTCAGGACTCCCATGCCATGTTTATGTGGTGTTGAAGAATAGTAAAATTTTAGATGCCAATTTTAGAGAGGCTCAGTCATTAAAAGGTAAAAAGTTGTTCCTCATCTGCAATAATCCAAAAATCACGGCATTCCCTGAAACAAAGAGCCAAAGATTATGACTGCTCATGCCAGTGAAAAGGCTCTCAGGAGCACCCCTGAAGTTTAGACTGAACCTGTATTTTCAGGTGTAAATTAACACCACAGGATGCATTCACAATTCCGTAACTTGCACTATACTGCGCTCCTGTGCAGCTCACAGTACTTGTTTTGAAACATCACCAGTAAAATCTCAACTCTTCAGTCTTCCTTGAGGAGAAAAACAAGCCTGGCACTAATTTAATCCACAGTACCTTTAAGTTCAGCACAGAGACCTGACTGTCTATTGAACAACTGCTCTGTTTGTAACTTAATGGCGTCATCATCATCATCATCACGTATTTCACTGAACATTTTCTTTACCTTACAAATTTAGCCAAATGTATTTCAGAGCCAGTGATGTGGATGGTTTTAAAAAAAGGTTTATTTAAACTATTGCACTATTTAAATTAAATAGTTCTAGTGACACAACATGAAAGGTTGCTGTATTCTCAAATGTGGCAATTTTTCAGACCACACACAAGCAAACTGCCTGCTGTTAACACTACCTGTATTGACAGCTTAAGAGTCCGTGTAATTTTTGTAATGAGGGTCAAATTACCTGTCACTAGTTTTTTTTTAAGCATCTCCGTTTGCAAAGCTGGTTTTTAGGCAACAGAAGGCTAAAAATGAAAACTATATGAAAATAAGTGATTGAGTAAGTAACCAAGACTGCAGCTGAATGTCCAAACACAGACTAAGGGGAACATATGCTGCCTGCAAAAAACTCTTCTGCATCAATGTGTACAGGTAATTCTTGTAAAAGTAAAGGTAAAAGCTTTCCATGCTTATGTCCTGAAACTGAAGTCAAACCTTTCAGCTTTCCACTGTGTGCAGAGAGCACGGGCAGAATGAAATTCCAGTAACGCTTTTTGACACCCTGCGCTGTTTTCTATCTACACTCAATTTGGTCCCTCAATTTTGAGGCTATTCTCAATGTTTTGCTAAGTGCCCTAAAAAGGCTTTCTAGCCATAAAAAGGAACGGAGTCCTTTGCCAGCTCCAGGCAGAGGGATGGCAGATGGCCTGGAAGCCACCGCAGAGATGGAGCGCTGGGAGTCCGACCAGACTCGCAGCTCCACCGCAGCTCTCACAACCACAGCATCTCCTCCACCCAAGAGCAGCACAGGATGCGTTTTTCGGACAAACCACATCCTTATCTCTACAGAGGGTATTTTTCCCTTGCACTTGGAAGGCGTTTCCCACAAAGCAAAGCCATCTCTATTTAAAGGAAAACCGCAATGTGGCAGGCACACATCGCACCCCGTTGCACCAAAGGGGCAGCTCCAACCTTTTAATGTTTTAAACAGAACTCAGCACCGAGCAGATGACATGTGCTGTGAAATCAGAAGAGATGTCACTGTCCCTCCCTCGGGATGGTTTGGGCACTCTTGTACTGCTGGTAAACCTGGGCCTTGGTGTAATCATCACTAATAGACAAGCTCTTGATGTGATGGGATCCTTCCACCAAAAGCATCTCATTCATGGTCAGGACTGAGAGTCACATACCGAGGCACCCAGGGATACACAAACAATATCCTGGAAGGGCCCCATCAGGTCCCCACAATGGCCCTCAGAAACCTGAAAATACCATGTGGTGCCATTCTGGGTCACAAGGTACTTTTATGACTTAAAAAAAGAATATGACCTGAGGGACTTATTCTGTGTGTTTTGGGGTTTTTTGAGAGGTGGGGAACAACCTGTCCCAAAAATCAGTGAAACAGTTATTCTTCAATAGGCTTTAAATTAGGATTGAATTGCCCAAAGTGTAAATATTATAAATAAAAAAGCAAAAACTCTGAAAGATACAAGACTAACTACTAAATTGGTAAAAATAATTCTAGATTTCTATTAAAAGTTTACTACACAATAATTATAGGAGGATATTATGCCTTTTCCAGACATTCTAATAATAAACATATACTTCCTTTGTGCAACCTGCTTCCTAGCAGGTGTGGGAAAAATGCCAGTTTTCATGGTGACAACATCATCCACCACAATCAACTCAGTTAAATCAGTTATTTGTAAAATCTGCTGCAGTATTTTAAATAATTAATCTAGAAAACATTAGTTCAGCAACTTAATATTGCAGTTTTCCTTTAAATGTTCTTGTCCTACGTAAAATGTTATTTTTCTCAAAAAGAAAAAACTTCTAGCACAACAGGCAAAAAGGCATGTAACCCAGTAAAAATTGGCAAGCAAAAAAAGTTTATTTTTACGTATTTTTATTTTTATGGATTTTATTTTTGATTGCCATATGATGATGGTTCTATGGTATAATATGCTGCAAGAATAATTCACACAAAATCCTGTCCACAGCACTTGGACTAATAAAGTAACAAAGACTTGGCAGACAAAAACCTTGAAGAATTCGACTTTCTTCTGCTAATAAAATGACACTAATAAAATGACAAGAAGGCCCCTATAATTTGCTGCCTTCCATCTTAACACAGCTGTGTTAGAAAGTTTAAAGTGTAGAAATTATTGATCCTAACAACATAGGAAAATGGTAACAACTTTGTCTAAAATATTGAAAATTTAAGTGTGAATACAGCTTGGGCACCTGTGTAATCATATCCATATCCTAAAATAGGTGACCAGCTGCAATCTGAAAGAACTTGGAATAAGGCTAAGCAGGTTTGTCATGCACTGACATGTTGAGCTGAAAGCACAGAATAAGTGCAATAATGGCCAGGGCCTTACTGTTACACAGGCAGGAGGTGTGCTGTGCCATTTCTAACACAGCTGCCAAGCTGTGGGCTTTTTATATTAAAGCAAAGCTTTATCTTAAGAATTAGATTATCACCATCTAAGGGGATTTGACAGCACTGACATGAGTTCATATAGGCTTACAAAGATCTGAAAAATCCAGAATTCAAAGGTAGTCCTTCCTCCCATTTACCATATCTACTTTTTGTTGGTGTGCAAAAGTGCACAGGAACCTCACAGAAGAGATTTTTTTAAATTTGCCCACGTCTTGTTATTACACTGCAGTCTTCAAATTTACACAGAGCTGCAGTTCTCCTGGGTTTTCTCAAGTGTCACTCATCCACTCATCTAACTTAGCATGACAGCTGAGAAAGGATGTCAGGCGCGTTACAGTTCAGTTTAAAAAACATCCTCTACCTGGTATCTCTGCAGTGATTGTCTTGCTGCTCCCTGAAACCTCTTCGTCGTCGTCTGACGAGCTGGTGCTGGAGTCACAGGTCAGGTCACTGTCGCTGGTACTGCTGTCCTGCAGCAGGTTGTACTTCTTGCGAGCAGCCGCCTCCCGCTTCTGCCTCAGCAGCCGGATCCTCTCTTTGTGCTTTTGGCTCCGGTGACCCTTCACCTTGGGAACTCGGCCGTTCTGCTTATCGCTAGACTGTCGGTTTTTCTTGGCAGCCATTGTTGAAGTCTCACTTTCGGACCTGGATCTCCTGGATTTCCTCCCGACCGCGGCTCCGGACACTGCAGAAGGGTCTCCCTCCGCGGCGGCTTCAGCTTGGCAGGGCTCGTTCTCCTCTGCGGAAGACAACGTGTCTGAGTCGGCCAAGTGCCCGCTGGAGGAAGGGGAAAGCATGCAGTGGTTAGAAGAGTCACTCTCATAAACTCGGCCGCCCGCTGGCTTGTCGCTCTCTGTAGATGCCAGCTGAGACTCCGAGGAGTCCCGCCTCAGTTCCATCAGCAAGCAAGGCATGGAAGAGAGCACTGCAGAGTCTGCTGCAGTGGGCGCACTGTCCTTCTGAGGTTGTGTCTCAAGTTCTATAGGCCTCTCTTCATCAGGAGCAGTCTCTTGCTTTTCAGAAGTCTTTGGTGGAATTCCTGAATCAACAAGTTCTTCTGCTTTTCCTACTGCCTCCATCTTCATTGCAGAGCAAGGTCCTTCCAGTCTCAAAGCATTGAGCACGTTGTCTAGGAGGCTGGGTGAGCTAGACGTGGTCTCCAGCAATGCAGCAGCCTGCACAGGAACAGAACAGTAGGAAAGAATTACACAAGCAGCTCAGCCTTCTCTCCACAGTGTTACCATAAACAACTCACTGCTTTTGGCTGCAGACAGAATGGGTTTACAGAGCCCCAGAGTGGTTCCGGTTGGAAGGGATCTTAGAGATCATCCCATTCCACCCCCTGCCATGTGCAGGGACACCTCCCACCATCCCAGGCTGCTCCCAGCCCCATCCAGCCTGGCCTGGGACACTGCCAGGGATCCAGGGGCAGCCACAGCTGCTCTGGGCACCCTGGGCCAGGGCCTGCCCACCCTCCCAGCCAGCAATTCCTAATTCCCAATGTGCCAAAATCTGTCCCTGCCCTCTGGCAGTGGGAGCCATTGCCTGGGTGCTGTCCCTGCCTGCCTTGTCCCCAGGGGCTGTGCAGCTCTCCTGGAGCCCCTGCAGGCCCTGGCAGGGGCTCTGAGGTGTCCCTGAAGCTTCTCTGGTGCAAGTGAACACTCCCCAGCTCTCCCAGCCTGGCTCTACAGAAGAGCATCTTATTGCTCAGCATCATGTTGGCTTTCTCAATTTACCAAGTGAACTCAACCAAATTATTCTTTAATTTGCACACCCATGAAAAATGGTACAGGAGTCATACTGAATGGGGCTCCCAGTGGAACCATTCTGCATGGGAACCTTATATATCAAAGACTTACTAAATAAAGAAGTGCTACTAAATTGTCAGAGGCACAGCTACAGGCTCTGGCTCCAGAGGTGTCACACAGATTGCTCTCACCAGAGCACCACCACGCTGGTGAGTCACACAAAGTTGTTTTAGGAATATCTAATACACCATTCAGGAAGTCCTTGATTGTCTCCCATACAAGCCCTGTTTATATGAGAACTTCAAGGCTGATTTAGTTTCTCTCAAATCTGCCAGGAAAGAAGCATTAAATAGTAGGGGCTGCAAGCAAAAAACATTATCTACCCACACCAGTATCCAACATTTTACTTCAAGTTATAATTTAATAAATTGCATTGCTTCAGTGCAAATAAAAAGACCAAGCTATTTATCTGATTGATAACTTACACATTATCCACCCAAAACTACCTGAAGCAACTCCAAAGAAATTTTCTTGGAGAGATCAATAGTTACCATTCTGTCTTCATTATTCACACTTTGCCTTTCACCTGAATTTTCTCTTGGAATACAACACAGAATAAAGATTCTTCAATTACCACATTCACTTACAGATGAATGGCATGGAAAAAATCCTTTACAGCTTCAGAAGTGCAGTAAATTATAAATTTATGGCACTTCAGAAAACAAAGTGTAGGCAAGAAAACGCAGCAGTGAGATCTTATCTGAAAAACCACATTTCTGCAGAGGCGGCCAATCAGCCCTTGAGCACCCTGAGGAAGCAGGGATGGTTCAGAGAGATTTTTCGGTACCCTGAGAATCCTTCTTTGTTTTCCTGATCCATCCCAAGCTGCCTGCAAGCATTAAGTGTATACATGTATGTAATACACAATATAAGGGTACTTCCCTGCTTCTAAAGGTGCTGTGCCAAGCTCAGCACTGTCCTGTGTGGCCCTAACCCACTCTGAAACTTCATTTTTAGAGAATACTAAAAGAGAGTTCATGCTTCCTTCAGGCTAATGAATGAACTGCTGTACGGGGCAAGGAAATGATGAAAACACTCATGGGAGTGAAACACCAGCTAAGGAAAGAAGGGTTGGTTAATATCAGACATCACAAGAAAGATGGAGATGGCAGGACCAAACCTGCTAAATATGAGGAAAGAAACCCACAAACCTGAAATCCCAAACAATAAAATCAGCTTATCCCTTCCAAAAACCAGACTAAAATGCATATTGTGGAAAAGAGGAACATGTATATCAGGAAAAATATTTGTGCATACTTTCGCTGAGTAACCCTCTCTTGAAAGCAACTTCAAAGAAGACTTTCTGGAGACAGTAATTTCATGTAAGCAGCAAACATCATGTAGGAACAATTTATTTCCAAGGCTACTGCAGAGCACCAACAAACCTAAATGATGAATACACACATTCAGAGACATAAATGCATGTCAGTAAAACAAATATTTGTAGGTAATTCACTCACAAATCTGTATTATCAAATAATTCTCCTATTACACAGGTAAGTAAAACACAGATTTGATGATGGAATAAGTGGAATTTGTGTTGTACCTGCTAGTGCAGCTCCTAGCTTTCCTCTGGCCATGAACTTTAAAATGAAAAATATCTTCTCTGAGAGTTTTGAAATGTACACACAGGGAAAATATTGGTTGCTCAGACACAAACCAAGAGTATTAGCTTGGCCAAACAAAAACATACTTAAATATTCATACTAATAACTGCAGAACAATTTCTGCACTGTTCAACCTTTCAGCCTGGGGAGCACGAAGAACAGAGCTTGACATGAAGCTAAAGGGCAGTCAAAGTCAGCTGTAGACTTTTTTCCACAAATGTCCTATTTGGAAATATCGTTTACCTCACAGCTCCCAAAGGGGTGGTAACAACACCTGCACTTGCCTTTCCACCTCTCTGGTCTATCAGAAAAAAATATGTTTCATCTGCACATTTCCACCTTGCTAACAGCTCAATTAAAATTATTTTAGTGGATTTTTTTTAATATTAAGTGGGATCTTTAACTACTCCAACCACACCGGTTCGATCCCTCACACAATGACTTTCAGTGCGTTGGCGGTAGAGGAGGGAATAGTAATTTCATGACACTGATGTATTTCTGTATATTTAGAAAAACCACATGTTTGGTAAGGTTTGTACTCTACAGGTCCATTGAACTGGCTCTTTAGACATCATCAATTTCTTTATTAATATATATATATACCAGAGCTTTGCCTTTCTCTCAGTGGGAAAAAAATAACCCTACCATGACTCAAACAGACTTTGCTTCATGGAAGAATACAGTCCATTTGGCAAAAAATATCTATGCCAAGGAAATCCTTGTCTCAAAGAAAGAAAAAAATGTCTGTATTTAGTTCCCTCTGAAAAATGTACAGAACAGCAAGAAGAGACTTTATTGAAAAACTCCCACTCCTTTTTTGCCATTCACCTTTCTAGTAACACTACTAGAAGAGGAAATCTCAAGGTGGCGCAAGCAAAAGACCATTTTTCTACTGAAATGGGAACACAGCACTGAAAATAAGTTGTGATGCTTACAGACACAGATGGATACTTAATTAGATGTTGATCAGAAATGGCATTCTCCTTTTACTGGTGAGCAGATATTGCAATGAAAATTTTAAAAGGCAATTTCGTAAAAACTTCTGTGCTTGATTTTTCCAATAGAAAATGTTATTTTCCAAGTCACACATATAACACACTAGTGCGAGGAAGCCATTGAATTATCCTGAGAAATATTTTCAAATCATGGACTCATTTGTAAAGGCACACAATTTGTACGCTAGGGAATCTGCTCTTCAGGGAAGAAATCCAGAAGGATTTTGAAGGTCAGGTTTGCAGAGACAGCCCAGCCTCTCTGGGTTTTGTCCCCCTTCTTTCCCCACCTAACTGTGACTGCACCATCATATTCCCTCCCGTGCACACAACTGGCCCACTCTTCTGTGCGTAGATTCCTTTCAATAAGCCAGCACAAGTCAAAATGAGAAAGCAAGTGACATTTTCTGCCAGAGCTCGCAGGAAGGAGGGAAGGGAGAGCAAGCACAAATCATCCCTGTTAAAAAAAAAAACCAAATCTGATTTAAAGCTGCTTGCTGTTTTGTATCATCACACCTTGAACTCAGAGTCAGAGGTTCTCCCCAGAGACAGCAGAAGGTCCTGAGCATTCCTTCTCAGCACCATTTGCTCTGGGAAGAGACTTTTGTAAATTAAAAAAAAAAAAATATTAAGAGCAAAAAGCCTCAGAGGTGATAGCAGCTTCCTAAATAAAATTTTTCATGTAATATGTACTACAGCACAAAGACTTATATTAAAGACAGCAGGTTTCCCACAGCAGAGTTTCAGGCATCAGATTATAAAAATAAATAATTTAACAGAGGGTTAGAGCAGTAGATAAGCCGTGTGTCTCTGCAGAGAGACCCTGAACAAAGAAATCCCCAGGGAATTACAGAATTTAGGCACCTGCTCCTCACCCACCTTGCCTGCACCTCTCAGCTCACTGCTGATTTTTACATCACCTTTCTGGGTCCTTCTCCATGTCCAGGCAGGCCACCCAACCCATGTGGAACCGCAGCTGCTGCTGGTGGTGCTGCCTGCTGATCTCTGGTTTGAGCCGCTGGTGCCTCTGCTCCACGGCACAGCACAGGGACCTACAAAAGCCCTCACCTAGGTAAGCAGTCCACAGCAGTTTTAAAACATCCATTTGTTGCCCATGTGCTGCCCACAACACCGATAAAACGCAGCGCTGTATCAGCTATTAGGAAGATTAACTAAATTACACAGCTTAAGGCTGAAGGCTTCATCAAATCCAGCTACTCAGGCCAAGCAATCAACATACTAAATCATGTGTCATATATTAACAGCTAGAATGTTACTCATTCTACTTACAACTTACTTACTTCAGCTGAACAAGGAGTACCTCTCAACAGCCTGAAATACTTAATAAACCCCATGACACCCTAACCTTAATTGTACATTGTCATTTTAGGTGTTATTGAGCTGACTAATGATAAAGAATGCCTAGCTTGCGTGCAGCAAGCCAGGTCTTCTTTTCCTGAACCTATGGACGGGACAGATTCTTGTTTTACAGGTACCAGTGTTTTCACAGCAGCTTGCTGGAAAACTCACTTCAGCTTATTACTGCACATTTCCTCTTAATCACAGTCCAACAGACCACTTCTTTTCCCTGCTTATGGTCATACAACCTTCTTATGCCAATTCTAGCAATTGTTGTAATGAAAAAGAATTATCTACCAGAACACTGCCTTTTAATGCTCTTTCAGTTAGTGCTGAAAGAAAACAATTCGAACAACCCACCTCCTCTCACCACTTACCATTCAACTGGAAGCCATATTTTTTTTAAATG